TATATATATATATATATATATATATATATATATATATATATATATATATATATATATAGGTTCTGGTGATAATGAGATCTAGTGAAACAAATAAGAATGCCTGTGAACCGTTCGATGCAGCCTCTTGATGATAATACATCCGCCACTTTCTATGGGTAAATATGTATTTTCCTTTAGAAGCCGTTTCTCTCTCATCCAGCGCTTCCATCCTAGCGATATCATCGTAAGTTTCCATATTCCCAAAATCATTCAAGATTTTCTTCTCATGATCTCATATCATTATGTATCAATCTTGTTTCAGGTTTATGTATTCCCAAAATCATTCTAAATACCCTAATTTCTCAATTTGGTGTTCCAACATTGAATAATCAGATCTCGAGGTTTGGCATTCCAATTGCTACTCATTTTTGGTGTTCCAATCATTCCAGTTTTCCATATTTTTCTTCATACATGCGTAGATGGATTCAGGTTTGAACTTTTTATCCTCTTTTTGTTTTCTAATCCTTCCAATTTTCTCATTTAAAAAGACAAGATTTTGAAATTATATGCTATAATGAATTGTGCTTGTTAGTTTTCAAACTGGTATGCTTGAAGAAATTGCAACGAGGCATCATTTAAGTTTTCTTTTTATTTTTGTTTTGGGTTGTATGAGTTTATGATTCCGTGTGCATCAAATTACACTCATGATGCATTACTGCCATTTTTTTAAATCTTTATTTTATACAAAGTAAATTATATTAAATTGACGGAGTGTAGTTTTCATTAAACAGTAATTGATGACATGATGTAGATTCTTCTTTTCTTATTGGTTCTTTATAACCCAAGATGCATAGGCTTGAATATCTTATAAATACTTTACATTTTTTACGCAGAGCAGCCCATAATGTTCATAGTGATCAGACTTGTAAGTGTGGGGATCTTATGTATATGATAGTAAAAAATGTGCATTATGTGCTGTAAAAGAATTGTACTAAAGAAAATAGTGCACAGTGACACAGTAGTGATGCATTTACACCTATATGTAGTGCAAAATGAAACTCTCAATGTAATAAGTAACAACAAGACATTGTACTAATCTAAGGTATGTCTCAAGGTTAGTTGGATTGAGACAACTAAAGGAGACAACTAATATTATAGATTTGTTCCCAGTGATTCAACCAAAGGAGTGTTATTGTATTTGTGTAAGTCTCAAGGTTAGTTGGATTGAGACAACTAATTTTATCTACTATGTGCAACATGATGATAATTATGACATGATGTTGTTGACCATAGTATCATGCTCTATATGCATAGTGTGGTTAGCTTTTTATCATCATGATGAGTTACAACTTCTAAATGTTGATGCAAATGATATTCGGTAAATGCTTTTGTTTTTCTGTGTCTATGATGCATTATAAATGTGGTAGATGTGCTTGTGAATCAATAAAGAGTTGGTGATTGAAGCTCGGGTGCTAATATCAACAAAAAGTCAAACTAGAACTTACACAAGTTCATACAAGTGGATGATTAAGAAACATCTTGTAAAGAATTGTCCTAAACAAGATGTTGCACATATTGACCTTGAATCAAGAGACGAATATGAGGACTAAGCTTGGGCTATGAAGATAAGAAGAAAATAGATGAATATACACCCGAGGCGAAATGCTGTTGCATTATTTATGTCATGTTTTGCTTGACTCAACCAGATTATAAAATGGGATTGTTTATTTTTACGTTTATAGTTGTATGTTGTTTACTGTTTTTTATTGGAGATTCAGGATTTAAATTAGTGGAGAATTGTATTAATTTCTTTTTTAGTTTAGTATTATTCAAGGTTACCCAGATGCTCTCAATTCGACGTGGTGCATTACTATTGTTGTGTAATGCATAGTGGCTTTGTTATTGTGCATGTAGCTAAAGTTTACATGTTTGTTCTTCACTTGAAATCCAATGTGTGGGAGGAGAAACTATGCAGTTTTCGTCTCTATGTTTATTAGGTTTTGTTTTTATGAATCTTTTCTTTTATTCTAATATTTATTTGTTGTGTACCAAAATTTTTTTTGTAGGGCTCTTTTTCTTCTCTTACACGCGTTACTGATAAAATTAGAATCTTAACGTGAATGGAATAAATTTCTTAAGAAGTCTAATTTTACAGTCTAAATTTTTTCTGAATTAAAAATTGATATTTTAAGGTGTGGCCGTGTGGTATTGTATTCAATTTAATTTTTTCAACATTAAAATTTACTTTGCATTTGTGTACATTTTGGTTACTTTACATTTATATATATATATATATATATATATATATATATATATATATATATATATATATATATATATATATATATATATATATATATATATATATATCTACATATATATATATATATACACACACACACACATGACGATGGCGTTTAGAGAGAAGGGAGACCGCGGTGTATATGGCGACCGCCGACGATTTTCCGATCGGAGACTGTCTTTTTCGCACAAGTTTTCTTCCCATTTCCAATGGAGACAGTGGGATGATGATCTCAACAACTATCGCGAATATCTTGACGATCGGCGGCCTAAATACCCTTTCTTGGGTCAGCGTAGGACTTACAGATCCGGCAACAGGAGAATGTCTCGTGGGGAAGGGAGCAAAATCATTCCTACCGATGACCGAGAGGTGGTGGACAAAAGCGATACTGGCCTTTTTGATGGAGGACGGCCCCAAGAGACATGTCAGCCGGGCCCCATCGGCCACGTGGAAGGTCTTCCCTGCTCGGCCCTTGTCATCGGCTCGCCCTATGGGCTCGGCTCGGACTGCGAGCTCGGCTGGGGACCGTGATAGCGACCGCCGGATAGCGACCGGCCACGTTGACTGCGCGATAGCGACGGGATGAAAGGGACAACGCATAACAGAGATGACGTCCGCTAGGCGACGAACCTCGATCAGAGAAGCTTTGACTTAGTATATTTTACCCCCTATAAAAGGGGTGGCACCCCTCATTGTAATGGATCCGATTTTTGAAATCAATATACTCCTACTTTGCATTCTCTCTCTCTCTAAAACTTATATTCTCGGTGGTTTATAGCCATCAAATTGGTGCTCTCGTTGAGAGAAGAGAAACATACTCGTAGGTGAACTCCCGGAAGCGAGAATGGTGCAAACAAGGAGCAACGCCCCCACCACCTGCCAGGTAGTTGGCGAGGAGATGGCGCCGGGAAGCGGCAACGGCATGGGCGGCATAGGCTCGACTCCGGACGTGGTCCAGGCGTTGTTCGGCTTGGGGGTGACCGCGGAGCAGCTCCAGGCAGCCGTTGCGGCACTTTCCGCCATGGGCGGGAACGTGCCCGGCGTCGGAGCTGGTAAAGCCCCACCCGGCCCCCATGTCGAACACGCTGCCACTTCCCAACACAAGGGGAAGAAGACCCGGAGGAGCAAGAGGAGGCCCGGCAAAGCCCAAGTGTTCGAGGAGGTAATAGTGGAAGACGTTCCCGAAGGGGAAGACGATGAGTCCAATGAGGGCCGAGTGTCGGCCTTCAAACGTCTAGGAGGTGAAGAGACGAGGATATCGGCGTTCGATAGGCTCGACCGCGAACCGGAAGACCGCCTGGGCGACCTCCGCCGACAGATCTCCCAAGTCAGGCGAAGGCATGCCGAGGAGTCCGCGACATCGGATGCTCGCTCGGCGAGGCCCGAGCGAAGCGGGGAAAGGCGGGACGAGCGCGACCAGCGTCACCGCAGTCCGACAAGAACCGTGAAGGCAAAGGATTCTGACCAAGGGGTATCCCGACTCGCTCGGGAGATTGCCGACCTCAAGCGCCGAGTAGAGACTCGGGCTCCTTACAGCCAGCCCATCTTGCGAACGGTGACTCCGTTCACTCCGAGGGTCATGTCGGTTCCGCTACCGTCCAACTTCCGGCCGTGGCAGATCAAAGCTTACAACGGAACGACGGACCCCCAGGACCATTTGTCCAAGTTTTACGCGTCAATGGAAGCGGCAGCGGCCCCGGACGAAGTCAAATGTCGGTGTTTCCTTGCCACGCTAGAGGGTTCTGCGTGTGACTGGTTCAACCGACTCCCGAAGGGGACCATCGACGATTGGGATACGTTGGCGGAGAAATTTCTAACGCACTTCGCGGCCAACCGGAGACCGGGGCTACCCTACTCCCACCTGCTCAACATATGCATCCGTAGGGAAAGAAGGTTCGCGACTTCATAGTCCAGTGGAAGAAGGAAGCCAGAGATGTGCATGGGCGGATGATCAGGCCTTGGTGGCTATGTTCCAAGCAGCCCTCCCCCGTGGAGAGGTGAGGAAGGAGCTCCGCAAGAATCCTCCCCCTATGTACCAAGAAACCTTGGCGCGCGCAAAGTTCTTGGCGTCGGAGGAATTCGACGACAACCCTGAATCTGAGGTCGCGCCGACCAAGCGAGCTCCCGCAGATTCAGGGGAGATAGCGAAAAAGAGGAAGAAGAAGAAGGACTACACCACAGGCCCGAGGCCGCCCTCGGCCGGAGTATACTCTGTGGGCGCGCCCGTAGGGGCGGGTCGAGAGCTCGCCCTCTCCCCGTTTCCTCACGCAGAGACCTACGTGGTGTCCAGCGGAGCCAAGTATTGCGAGTATCATCGCAATAACACTCACAGCACTAAGGAATGCTTCACTCTGCAGAAGGAGATGCAGCGACTCATCGCCCGAGGGCCGCCTCCACGGGATGAGAACGCCACCCCCTCTCGGGGGCCGCCGGAAGGGAGGACATGGAGGAAACCGACCGAGCCGGTCGCGGTGGCGACTCAGGCAAGGAATCCCGAGAAGAGGCACATCGGGCGGGATTGTGAGGACCTAGACGAAGATGAGGCGCAAGGATACCCGGTGGGATTTATCCATGGAGGAAACATCGGCGGGGATTCCGTCGCCCAGAGGAAGAAGTGGAAGCACCTGGCATTTGTCGCCAAGGTTCAACAAGCGCCGGTGCCCAAGCTCGGAAGACGAGAGCAAATCCAGTTTACGGAGAAGGACCTTCCGAGCGCGACGAGCCCCCACCGGGATGCTCTAGTCGTGAAGATCGAAATCAATGACACCATAGTGCACCGCACCTTGGTGGACACGGGAAGCTCGGTTAACATCATGTATGAGAAGACCTTCAAGGACCTCGGCTTGGACCGCAAAGACTTGAGGCCCGTGCGCACTCCTCTCTCCGGGTTCACGGGGGACTCCATTGAGGCCGAAGGAGTCATCACCCTGCCCGTGATAGTAGGGGATGGTGCGCACAAGGCTAAGCTGAAGATGGAATTCATGGTTGTGAGCATCAACTGCGCGCACAACATGATTCTAGGGCGGCCTGGCCTGGAGGACTTGGAATGCGTAATCTCCCCGTACTACTTGTGCATGAAGTTCCCCACTCCGTCCGGGATTGGGGTGGCGAGGGGAGATCAGAAGTTAGCTCGATCGTGCTATGTCCGAATCACGAAGAAATTGCCAAGGGACGAGACGTTGGTCGTGCAAGCACAAGAAGAGGTGCGGAAGCTGGAAGCACGACCGAAGGCCGAGCCCGCCGAGGAAGTCGAGGAGGTGCTGCTCGACCCTCGAACACCCGAACAGAAGGTGAAGATTGGAGTGAGTCTGACCGGGAGCCAGCGGAAGCGCTTGATGGACGTGCTCTCGGCCTACCGCGTGATCTTTGCTTGGGGACCTGGGGATATGCCGGGAGTAGACCCCAAGGTCATATGCCACCGCTTGGCAGTCAATCCCGAGTCTAGGCCGGTAAGACAGAAGAAGCGATTCCTCTCGTCCGAACGGAGGGAGTTTGTTTCCAAGGAAGTCGCCACCCTCCAGAGCATTGGACATATAAGGGAAGTGAAGTACCCGGAATGGATGGCGAATGTAGTATTGGCCCCGAAGGGAAACACTTGGAGAAAGTGCGTGGATTACACCGACCTGAACAAAGCGTGCCCAATGGATCCGTTCCCACTCCCGAACATCGACCAGCTGGTGGACGAGACAGCGGGTTGCGAGCTCATGAGCTTCATGGACGCCTTCAGCAAGAACCACCAAATCCAGATGCATCCTGAGGACGAAGAGAAGACATCTTTAACTACCCCCGGCGGAGTATATTGTTACAAGGTGATGCCTTTTGGGCTCAAGAACGCCGGGGCGACCTATGCTAGGATGGTGAGCAAGCTCTTTGCGCCCGTCCTCGGGAAGAGCATGGAGGCATACGTCGACGACATGATTGTGAAGAGCAATAAGGCGACCACCCATGCGGAAGACTTAGAAGGAGTCTTCAAGATTATGGAGAAGTACAACCTCTGGTTGAATCCGAAGAAGTGCACGTTCGGAGTTCAAGGTGGCAAATTCTTGGGACATATGGTGAGCAGGCGCGGTATTGAGCCCAACCCCGAGAAGGTGCGCGCCATCCTTGACATGGAGGCTCCGCGAAATGTCAAGGAGGTGCAGCGCTTGACCGGTAAGTTGGCCGCGCTCAGCTGCTTCCTCTCCAAGGTAGCGGACCGAGCCGCCCCATTCTTCCAAGCTGTGAAGAAGTCCCGAGGGTTCGTATGGACGGAAGAGTGCCAACAATCCTTTGAGTCTCTGAAATCCTACCTCCTCTCTCCACCGGTCCTTGCCAAGCCCGAGCCCGGGGAGACTTTGTATCTGTACCTAGGAGTGTCGCCCAAGGCACTAAGCTCGGTCCTAGTCCGAGAAGGTGGCGGAGTTCAACACCTGGTATACTACACGGCTAAGACATTGAGGGGTGCCGAGCTCAGGTACTCCGTGGCCGAAAAGACGGTCCTAGCGGTAGTATCAACCGTGCAGCGACTGACGCCTTACTTCCAAGCTCACCCGGTTCAGGTGCTCTCCCAGCAGCCCATAGGCGCGCTACTCAGGAGCCCGAACGCGCCCTCTCGCATGTCTAAGTGGACAGTATTCCTGGGAGCCTTCCAGATCGAGTTCAAGCCAAGGCCGGCGATCAAGGGGCAAGCGCTGGCCGACTTCGTGGTGGAATGCACCGCTCGGGAAGAATCGAGTCCGGAACTTGAAACCGATGACTGGTGGACAGTTTTTACCGACGGCTCCTCCGCCGCCAAAAACTCGGGGGGTGAAGTGGTGGTCATCGCACCCGAAGGTTTCAGAGCGTACTATTCAATTCGGTTTGGCTTCAAAGCATCGAATAATGAAGCGGAATACGAAGCGCTCTTGTGCGGGCTACGCCTAGCTGCCGGGATGAATGCGACGAAACTAAGAATAAAGTGCGATTCGAAGTTGGTGGTTGGCCATGTCTCGGGGGAGTTCGAGGCGAAGGACGACAGAATGAAGAAATACAGAGATACGGCTTTGGAACTCTTTAAGAGCTTCACCGCATACAGCGTCGAGCAGATCCCCCGAGCGGAGAACGCGGAGGCGGATATCTTGTCAAAACTAAGCTCGGACACGCCCGAGCACATCAGGCGGATGGCGAATGTGGAAGAGCTGTCCAAGCCGAGCATCCATGCCTTCCCCGTGGCGATGATCTGTGCTCGGCCCAAAGATTGGACGGACGACATAGTTGCCTTCCTAAAGGATGGCACCCTCCCGGACGATGCGGTGAAGGCCAAGCTGGTCCGAACGAGGGCACCGGGATACACGTTGGAAGGCGAGAAGCTATACAAGCGAGCGTACAACGGGACGCTACTCAGGTGCCTTAGACCAACTGAAGCAAAGCAGGTTATGGAGGAAGTGCACGCCGGGATCTGCTCCGCCCACCAGGGGGCTTACGCGGTGTCAAGGAAGATAACCCTCCAAGGATATTTTTGGCCGACGATAGTCAAGGATTGCGCAGAGTTTGTGAAGAGGTGTAAAGTCTGCCAAGAGTTCCAGAAAGTGCCGGGGAGGCCTTCAACCAACTACACCCCCATCAGCACAGCCATCCCGTTTGCGCGATGGGGGGTGGATCTCGTGGGTGCACTCCCTATGGGCACCGGGAATGTGAGGTACGTCATCGTAGCCATCGACTATTTCACTAAGTGGGTGGAAGCGGCCCCACTAGCAAGCATCACCGGAGCCCAATGCCAAAAGTTTCTCGCAAAACAAATCATATGCCGCTTCGGCGTCCCCGAGCACATAATCACAGACAATGGGACACAATTCGAGTCCAGGCCCTTCAATACCTTCCTCGAGAGTTGGGGAATCAAGCACAGCTATGCTGCGGTCGGGAACCCCTAGACGAACGGTCAGGTGGAGAACGCCAACCGAACGATAATCGATGGTCTGAAACGGAAGCTGGAAGCCTGCGGAGGGGAGTGGGCTGAAGAATTGCCCTACATCTTATGGACCTACCGGACCACGCCGAGGAGGGCGACCGGGGAAACCCCCTTTGCCTTGTGCTACGGATTTGAGGCGAGGGCCCCCGCAGAAATTTCTATTGCAACACATAGGGAGGAGGTCTTCGACCCCGAGCGTAACGAAGAAACCTTGGCAGCCGAGCTTCACCTCGTGCACGAGAGGCGAGAAGCGGCCTTCATACGGGCGGAAAATTACCGAAGGAAGGTGAAGAGCTACCATGATGGGCGTGTGCGCGCACGAGGGTTCGCTGAAGGAGATTGGGTCTTGCGCAAGAGGACGGTGAGCCGCCCCCTGGAAGGGGGAAAGTTCGCCAAAAATTACGAAGGCCCATACATCATCAAAGAAGCGGTGGGTCCGTCGACGTTCCGCCTGCAGACGCCGAGCGGGGGGGGACGTGCTTAGGACGTGGAATGCTGAGAACCTAGTCAAGTTTTATCAGTAGATTTCCGATGTACACGGACCCCAAAGAAGGGAACCCGTAGATCTTTTTGGAGGGACAATGGAATGAAGTTTTATTTTTTGCGAAGAGAACTTGCTTTAACACTCGCGCTCGGCGTTCCTCCTAAGGGGAAGAGCTGAGCACAGGCCATACCCGGGTGTTCTCCCCGGATGAGGGCCAAACACGCGTGTTCGGCACTCCCTCTTAGGGGAAGGGCCGAACGTAGACCATTCCCGGATGTTCTTCCTGGATGAAGGTCATACACTTGTGCTCGGCATTCCCCCTTAGGGGGGAGAGCCGAGCGCATACCATGCCCGGATGTTTTTCCCGGATGCAAATTAAACACGCGTGTTCGGCACTCCCTCTTAGGGGAAGGGCCGAACGCAGACCATTCCCGGATGTTCTTCCCGGATGAAGGTTAAACACTTGTGCTCGGCATTCCCCCTTAGGGGGGAGAGCCGAGCGCATACCATGCCCGGATGTTTTCCCCGGATGCAGATTAGACACGCGTGCTCGGCACTCCCTCTTAGGAGTAAGGCGGAGCGCAGACCGTACCCGGATGTTCTTCCCGGATGAAGGTCATACGCACGTGCTCGGCATTTCCCCCTTTCAGGGAAGAACCGAGCGCGGGTTAAAAAAAAAGGAAAAAATACATATATATATATATAACAAAATAAAAAATAATAATGATAATAACCAATGAAATGCGCCCCACGCCTCTTGAAGGCCGAGTGCAACTCTTAACTCAAATTTTATTCATCCCGGAGGGCAAGTACATGGCATGAACGCCTTACAATAATTAAGCGCATTACAAATAATTAAGGTGTGGGCAAACTTCAGTGCATGCCACAGTTCCACCCACGCTCGCAAGGGCAAGGTGGGGGGTAAGAGGACGGAGAAGGAGCCCTAATGACAACAGAATGACCAGTGGATTCGGCGAAGCTGGGCGAGCCCGGGTCTTCAAGTGATTGTCGGCTCGGATGGTGAGACGCCACGGAACCCTCACTCGCGTCCGCTGCCGGAGGAGCGGGAGGGCGACGCCCACGGCCACCACGGCAGGCGGCAACTGGTGGAGGGGGGACCTCAGGACGAACTGGCGGAGAGGGGGTCTTCTCGTCCTCCTCCGACGAGTAGTAGATGAACCCCGGGATCTTAGCAAAAGGATCGGGGTGCACTGACTCGGACTCAGAGTCCGAGTCCCAAGAGTCCCGCGGCGAGGGCGGCGGGGTCGAGCTCGGCCCTGACTTGGTCGGAATGGCCGAAGAGCCACCAAGGGAGTAGCTGCCGAAGGAGAACGTCTCTCCTCGCACCTCACTGGAATCAGGGGGAGTAGGAGTCGAGCGCGGCATGATGAGATGAGAAGAATTCAAAGGAAGCAAGTGATGAGTGCAAGCAAATGGTAAAGACCCCTCCCTTATATAGGCATCTCGCCTAGGGAGAAGGGTACACGTGGCAGGACGGGAACGGCCCAGCGGGCGGCAGGTCAAAAGCTCAAGTCCCATCAAATGTCTCGGGCAACGAGGGGACAGAGGACCAAGTCCCGAGGTGACCCCCCTCGGTATGGCCGAGTTCAGGTCGGACGGGAGAGGGGCTTGCACACAAGTTGGGCGAATGCAGCATAAGAGTCAAAATAGAAGCACGACATACTCACATAGAACAAAGTCATGACATACCCATATAAGTAGAATCCAAGTTCAAAAACACAAAAGTACTGAGCAACATTACATCAAATACAACAAAGTTTAAAATTTCTATCAATTGACATTCGCCTGCTCGGCAGCCGTGTCCCCGCCATTTGGGTAATAGATGGAAGCGTCGAACTCATCAGGATTGTCGCACGGTTCGGGGAGGTCCACCCCATTGAGGAACCTGTCCGAGAGGACCTGCTGCGCTAGGAACAGGCCGAGGTTGTACCACTGGGTCCCCTCGGAACGAGCAAAGGCCTTCCCCTCCTCAGTCTGCCCCCACGCCTTGAGCAGGTCATTCATGCGGGCGAAGGCCTCATCCTGGAACGCCCCCGAGGATAGGAACTCGGCCACGGCATGCTCGCGAACTTCCTGGCGCGCCTGCCGAGCCGCCTCCTCCGCGACCTGCTGAGCCTGCTCCTCGGCCCGCTGAGCCCGCTCCTCGGCCTGACGAGCTTGCTCCTTGGCCACCTTTAGCGCCTCGTTGAGGTCAGCTATCTCAACATAAGCTCTGCTCCGGTCAGCCTCACTGAGGCGCAGCCGCTGGGCCATGTCAACCATGCGCATCATCGCCTGCAGGTATACAAGGGGTGAGCACCGCAGGAATGTGTTTATAAAATATGAATGGAGAAACTTACCGAGCCCATCTCGTGAAACATGTCCGAGGCAAGAGCTTCCCGGTCGGCGTCCTTGATCTTGGCGCGGTCGGTCGGGGGGGTCATGCTACGCAGAAAAGTCTCCGGGTCGTAGTCCCGGTCCAGGAAGGAGACCCCTGCGGGGAAGGCCGCCTTGACATACTTCTAGTGGCCGAAATCCTTCATCAATGGGGACTCGGACCCCGGGGGAGTGTCGGTGGCCGAGGCCGTATCCTTTCTCTTCTTCTTCTGGGCCGCTTCGGGGGTCGGCTTCACCGGCGGGGTCGGAGGACGACCGGCCACGGTGGGAGCCCGGGAGCTGCCGCTTGCGGCATCGGGGAACATGAGCTTCATTCGCTCGGCACGGGAAAGCATGATTTCACCTGCACAACCAAAAAAGATAAGTGATGAGGCGAGGACTTATACCGCGAAAGAGCGAGGTGGGAGAATCCGAGGTAGTCGTGACCCACGGATGGCCGAGGAGGAGAGATTGCACTGACCTGAGGGGCCTTCTTCGATGCTCCGCTGAGTTTCCTGCGGGGATAGGAAGACGAATCCGAGTGCCGCTAACGCGTCGTTCGTCACTATCGATCCGACCTCGAAGGGCCCCCCTCGGCAGAGCGTCTCTACATCCTCGAGCATCTTGTCCGAGTTGATGAAGGCGGAACGACGTCGGAAGGAGCTGAGGGGTTCCTTACGAAAGGGGGAGCCCGAGGAAAGAGAAACGAAGACGAATTTCCCCTTCCAACTCTTGGCGGAGTCCTTTCTCGTCTTGAAGAGCTTCTCCTGTCTTTGGAATATGGAGGCATATGAGCCCGAGTCGGAGTTCGCCTGACCGGACGACTTCGCCAACCGGAAGAGAAGCAAGAAACGGGCCAGATCGAGGCGAACCCCGGTCCCTTGGCAACGAATGAGAAATCCCGCCAAATAGCGGTGGGATTTGGGCACGACTTGGCAAGGGAGAAAATCAAAGTGGAGGAAGAAATCTATAACTAGCTGGTGGAGGGGGAAGCGGAACCCATACTCGAGGGATTTGAGGTGGATGGCGAAAGAACCCGGTGGGGCGTCAAAGACTGACTGTTCGGCGGTAGGACGTTGCACGGTAACACCCGGCGCCGAGGCTAGGCGCTTCGCTTTGCAGAACTCCTCCCGAGTGAGGGTGCACTTTCGCGCTCGGATCCCCGAGTCCTCGAGAACGGTCCGCCTCTGATTACGAGGCTCGGACTGGAGAGGGATCTCGACCGCTTCGACTATCTCCTCGACGGAGGGCGAGCGGGAGTCAATCTCCTGCACGGAGCCCGCGACGGAGCCCTCAGCACCGCGCTTAGACTCGGACTGACGAAAGATCGAAGATTGGGAAGACATGGAAGAGAAGGGACGAGGACTAACCTAGAATGGAGCCGGAAGGTGGACGCGAACGACGGTGAGAAGGCTGGCGACGGTGAAGGGTCCTACTTTCTCTCTCTAAAAGGTGAAGAATGAGATGAGTAGGGTGGGTATTTATAGAGCAAGGTTTTGGATGGGTGCAATGATGGGCCGCCACTTGGCCTAGGGAGGCGAAAAGGTGCACCCCTTCATGATTGCGAAGCCCAAACGGCACCAATGGCCTGCTACCCCCCTCCACGTGGGACCCCGCGCCGCTCTCCAACAGTACCCATACTCTCTCGTGTTCCATCGCCGATTGCAACGAAACCCGGAGAGTGGGGGGCTTATGATGGAGGACGGCCCCAAGAGACATGTCAGCCGGGCCCCATCGGCCACGTGGAAGGTCTTCCCAGCTCGGCCCTTGTCATCGGCTCGCCCTATGGGCTCGGCTCGGACTGCGAGCTCGGCTGGGGACCGTGATAGCGACCGCCAGATAGCGACCGGCCACGTTGACTACGCGATAGCGACGGGATGAAAGGGACAACGCATAACAGAGATGACGTCCGCTAGGCGACGAACCTCGATCAGAGAAGCTTTGACTTAGTATATTTTACCCCCTATAAAAGGGGTGGCACCCCTCATTGTAATGGATCCGATTTTTGAAATCAATATACTCCTACTTTGTATTCTCTCTCTCTAAAACTTATATTCTCGGTGGTTTATAGCCATCACTTTTAAATCCCCAAAAACTCTGCACCTACAAAATTCATACGTGTCCAGCATCTCAAATTTTGCTGGTAAGACTAGTTCCTGTTAGAATAAAAGACCAACGCTAGAGGGGGGGTGAATAGCGTTTGATCGTAGAAATCGCAGGATTTAAAAAATCAAAAGAGAAGTAAAGAGAAGAGTAAGAGGCACACCGAATTTTACCCTGGTTCACCACAACTTGTGGCTAATCCAGCCTCCCGAGAGACTCTCTCGAGCTACACTACTATCTCGTTAAGCTTGCGGGTGCTTAACAAACCGTTACAACTTGAGAGTTCGAGTCACATGAACCTCAACGAATCCTTCAAAGGAAACAGCCCTTCCTTTGAATCTACTAAGAGAAATACTTTCTCTCAAAGTGTCTAAGAACACGAATACACTCAAGAACGAGACTCTCTTATAGAGTAGATTTTGAGTAAACTAAGTGCGCTCAAGAACAACTCAACCTTCACACAAAAATGGCTCTAGAAAGCTATGGAAAGTGATGATATTTGAATGCAATGA